GTCATATATTTCCCCAAGATTTATGCAGGTGCACCATTTCCATTTGGCATTTGTATAAGTTCCATTAATTAGATGGTTTATTTCAATTCCATTGTATGACTGTCTTGTAACACCATTTATATTTGTTTTAAGAAAGGGCCCCAAAAAGCCAAGCCTAGGCAGGATATCCTGAATTGTACCAGCACAATTTAATACAGAAACATCACATTTAAAACATTTACACATAGAATTGCAAACTTACTTATTTTAAGCATAATTTATATATTTTGACAGACAAAAATATACGTTTAGCAACATTTCATCTACCTGTCTGTTCAGTAGCAAACTTACAATAAATTATACAATATATCAGAGTAAATTTTCTTGAAGGCTAAAAAGATACAATGCTAGTTATTTCCAAATAAAAAAGCTAATAGCCATTATATTAGATTCACTTATTTTAAGCTTACATTCATTTGATATTCACATAAAACTCATTACTTACAAGTGTAGCAATAATGTTGGATTTTGACAGAGTATTTGAAAGCTTGTTGTTGACTCTATTTGTGTTGAATGTGCAAGTTTGATGTTTTGAAAAACATGTGTGAAGAAACACTAAAATTACCCAAAAAACACATTATAATACTGTAAAAGTATGAAAATAAAATGTTTTGTTCTAATGCTTTATTACACAGGTATTGCCTCCAAAGGTTAATATGGCCAGTGTCTAAAATGGTGCTGCTGTTTTATTCCCATTGAGAATGGGCTTTGGAAAAATAGGTCCACTGAGCAAAGCTGGAAGGATGCGGAGCTGTCTGCATGACCCGAGATGTCCCAACAGCGCCAGTGACTAGCATAAAGCGGCGTCTTCCGCATGTCGCAGCTTTGTCCTTCCGTGGGAACGGGGGGACGTGTGTGAAGGTGCCTAAATAAAGACCCTGCAATCGCTGTGTCCTTCCTTCTACTTTCGTTCTTTTAGAAAATCATCTCGCTAATATTTAGCTCATTTATTAGTGGATTTTCTACTAACTTAGTTTGTTTTTTTTAATACATCTGGTTTGAGAATAGGTAGAAAATAACAGGTTTAATAAAAATAGAACATTATCTGGTAGCTAAAATTAGTTATCTCATTTTTAATATTCTGGATAAGGTAAACTATTTCCCCTTCATCTTCCTATTATTACAAAATGAATGAAAGGAAAGAAAGTTTCACTATTAATATTCTTCTCACTGGATTTCACATGGCTATCGTTTGGACAGTTGTAAAATATAAGGTCTGTGAAGAGAGTAAACTCCCTGTGGTGCCCTGCTACGATGCGGACTCTGTCGTAATGGTTTTCTGTGCGTGCACAAGCCTAAGCCGGTTGAAACAGGAACCAATGGTGGTGGAAGGGAGCAAATGTGATTCGAGGGGTGGCTAGAAAGCAGGGCACAGCCCGAGCAGCAGGCCTGCCACACGCGGAAGCCCCGTCAATCAACCACTTTCGAGTGACAAGTGACTGCATCTCTGTGGTTTTCCTTAGTGTGTCCTGCCCCTGGCCCTTTCTAGATCCCTGCCTGGGGATCCTGGGACCCCACCCTAACGCTTCCAAAACTGTGCTCCAGGGGCCTGGGCACGGAGCAGGTTCTGAGGAGGCAGGTGAGCAGGAGCGCCCTTCACTTAGGCCTGGGCCATGTTCAGTAAAGATTCCGAATGCGACGTCCTAGGCACCATCAAGCTTTGGTGAAGCATTAAAAATGTGGGATGTTACAACAGGTAAAATTATTTAACTTCATATTTTAAAATCACCCTGTAAATTTAATTCATGTTTAATAACGGAGAGATATGTTATCTGATGCTGTTTGGACAAGTACAATTAATAAAAGGAAGTCCAGCTTCTCGATCGCAACTTTTATACATAATGGCAAACGCTGAATTAACTTCACCTTGTCTATGAATCACAAAAAAGAAATACTTTTAGAAAAAGTACTTTCACTTGAGTAATTCTGGCTGCCTTTCTTTATTGGATCAAATGCTCAGATAATTTTTCAGCTCATCAGGTTACTCTGCTTTTTCACAGCTCAGTTCTTTCTGTTGTGTGACTGGTGGGAAAGCATTTAAAGTTCTAAAATGGATACAAACCATTATATCTAGACACACATTTTTTTTAAGTCTAGAAAAGGAACAAAATAATATTTAATGACCTATCATGGGTTTTATGTAGACACCAAATGTTAAAAGCAGTGGCTTGGTCCCTTTAGGGCTTATTTGTACTTCACGCTTTCTTCTGCCTTTTAAAATTCACCGTATACTTCTGTAGTGGTGACCTGTCCACTACAAAGCACTGCCAGCCTGTATGAAGGGCCACAGAGTAGCTTTTTTTAGATATTTGCTTTTTATTGAATTTATGGGGGTCCCGTTGGTTAATAAAGCTATCTAGGTTTCCGGTGTGCAGCTCTATAACGCATCACCTGTATGTCCTACTGTGTGTTCGCCACTCAAAGTCTAGTTCCTTCTGTCACCATTATCACCCCTTCACCCTGTTTTACCTGCCCCTACACCCCTTTCCTTGGGGCAATCACCCTACTGAAGTCTGTGCCTGGAGCTCCTTTGGGTCCCTCCGCTTAATCCCCTGCCTCCTGCACCCAGCCCCACCCTCCAGCAGCGTCACCCCTTAGCGATGCGCTGTCCTCATTAATAAAGGGGATTAAACGCAGATTGGTGCCACAGGACAGTCAGAGGGAGGAAAAGTACAGCACAGGGAACGCAGCCCATGATGTTGGAGTAACTGCGCGGTGCCAGGTGGGGACTGGAAACCCGGGGGGAGTCACCCCGTAAAGTGTAGAACTGTCTAACCTCCATGCTGTGCACCCGAAAATCATACCAAGTAATGTTGGCTGTAAACTGGAACCGAAAAACTTAAATTAAAATAAATAAATGAGTCTCTAAAATGGAGCGCGTTTTATGCTTCTGGTTTACCGCCCTCGGGACGTGCAGGGCGCCTCTCCTGAACCTCACCGGTTACCTCACCTTCAGGGGCGCCCCTTCCCCTCCGATACTGATTTAGGCGGTCGGCCAAGACCTTACTCCTTCGATCATGAGTCGGAGCTTCACAAATTCCTAAGAAGATAAAAATCTTCCGTTTCCCTGCTGCTTCTTAATGCCCAGTTGGATTCACGGCTCCGAGGCTGCCCAAGAACCACGCCGTCCAGGCGCCAGGGGCCGCCCGGAGAAGCCCCGCGGGGCGCCGGGAGGCGGGGTGCGTTTCCCA